AAAATATGAGGAAGGGGCTTCTCTTACTGCATCTAAATCTGGGGCCCCCTTTCCCCTGTCCTTCCAGAAGAAAGCAAAGACTTTTTTCTCTTGGTAAGCCTTTTCTAAATAATTGGCTGCCTAAGAGGGGGTTGAATAGAAAGAGGGCTGCTGGTTATTTAAACATTATCTTAAGTTAGTGATATTGTTTGTTTTGGGGTCCTTCTGAGAAGAAAGGTGGGGTATATAAGGAAGGAAGGAAGGAAGGAAGGAAGGAAGGAAGGAAGGAAGGAAGGAAACAAACAAACAAACAAACAAACAAACAAACAAACAAATAAAGCAATTTTGCATATCCAAAACCCCATCAGAGATGAACAATTGCACACTGAACATACCTGAACTTTCAAGTGGAATATAATATTTGGATAAACCAAGAAGTAGATTATGACTAGAGGTGTGTGAATACCATCCTGAATTATCTGTCTTACAAATCACAGCCTATTTGCTTCAAACTGATTTGTAGCCCTCCCACTTTGATTTATATTTGAATACTCCATATGTCTGAATGTGGAAAACAAACATTAAAATGGGATGGGGGGGGGAACAAAGCTCAGTGCCATCAACTACTGCTTGACCCCCAGTTTCCAGGCAAAGCTCCTGCCATTTTATTTCCTTCCCTTTCCCCATATCCATGAAATTTAAATAGCTGTTAGGTCCTATACATAATGCTATTGTGCCCTACCCAACTCAAATCCTGTATGATGGCACATATAGGCAGTCTATTGCAGTAGTTCCCAACCTTGTTCTTGGACTAAAACTCCCAGAAGCCTTTGCCAGTAGCTTGGCTGGCCAGGACTTGTAGTCCAAGAACATCTGGGCACCTAAGGTTGGAAAACACTGGTCTATTAAATCAAAATCTGCAATCTCAAAAGAAAAGAAGGGGGGATACTCAAATTCTTCCTACCTCCTGAAAATTAAAGTGATATTCTGAACATACCTCCCTTGTAAAATGGCCACCAATCACAGAGAGAAAGAGGAATCCCCCCTCAGGGGTTCCATGACTGAGTTTTCCAGAAGATGCTGGGTTTTTCATTGACACTAGAACTGTCAATATTCTTCTGCTTTGGCTGTACTGGTTTTGTTACATTATTTCTCTCCTTTTCCAAGGTGAGTGGGTGTTTTTTTTTTTTTTAAATCATTTTAACCCATGATGTGCCAAAACAATGTTCAGTGGGTCGCAGAGGCCTGATTCAAAATATATATTAAATGTTTTATAGATGGTATATAACTCCCACAAGACTAGCCAAAATGGATGTTAAAATTTAAAACCTTTGTTGGAGATGCAAACAAAAAGAAGGTTCTTTTTATGTATTTGGTGGTCATGAAAAATATTGGAAAAGGGTTGAAATGCTTTTACAAGAGGTTTTAGAGAGTACGATAACTGTAACCTCTGATTTTTTTTTCTTCTAAATATAATTCTGGATTCAGTAGACTCAATGGGAAAATATTTAGTTCTACATATTCTGACAGCTGCAGGAATTCTTTCTGCTCAACATTGGAAAGACCCGGAGAATCCATCTCAAGAGGAGTTAATATCAATCATCCTGGATACGGCGGAAAGGGATAAACTATCAAAATGGGTTGACGCAACAAGAAAGTGCGGAGATGGTTGGCATAAATTCTATGAGTGGCTTAGAAACAGAACACAAATTAATATTTGATATCTGAAAGCCTAAGATTAATTTAGATATAGAATATGTAGTATTAATTAGTTACACTGGAAATTTGTGTATCTTTGAAATGTGATGGATAAGAATGAATACTTTAAAATGTTCATGCTGATTTACAACCCCTGTTCTATCCTGTCCCCTATCCTTACACCTAACTAACTAACTAACTAACTAACTAAACAAACAAACAAACAAACAAACAAACAAACAAACAAACAAACAAACAAACAAACAAACAAACAAACAAACACAACAGGTGACCACTCCTACATCTTCATGTTAGGAAAGCCTCATCTGTTAAATTTCTGCCTGCCCACCATATCGGAAAATCAACAACTACAGTCCCAGGTCACTTATATTTGTATTCCATTCACAGCATGGATCAACAGTTGCGCGCGCACACACACGCACACGCACACACACACACAGAGAGAGTTATACTGATATATATACATGAGAGCCACTGTGGATAGAATGTCCTATTGGGACTCAAATGACTTGGATTTAAATACCCGCGGATCCATGGGAGCTTGTTGACGTGGTGCAAGCATGAACATTCTTCCTTTCAGATCACACAAAGCTCTCTTGCTTTGCAGCAGTCCTCTCCCTGCTAAGTCCCATTTTTAGGAAATGAAGAAGGAAGGCCTGGGATTATTATGGGGTGCAGTTGGCAGCCACCGCAGGCAACAGATTTTGCATGCGAAAAAAGGGCAGAAAACAGTGAGTTATGTTCATTTGTTATGATTATACTTTTCTTCTCTCTCTCTCTCTCTCTCTCTCTCACACACACACACACACACACACACACACACAAAGAGAGAGAGAGAGAGAGAGAGAGAGATACTAGTGGTCAGTGAGAGATCCAGACAGGGGAAGTTGGAACGGACATGCTTAGTTTTTTCTTCTCTTTTAATGCAATTTGTTTTGTTTCTGACTTCACCGATTCTGGTCATTTTTGCCCCATGAGAAGGATCCAGATGGGTCCTTGGATTACTCCAGTTTGTACCCTTTTCAATTAATGAGATTCCCCTTTCCCATCTCCTTCCCCGCCTTTCCCCACAGCTGTCATTCAGTGGGCTGTGGCATCTTTCCTTTTTTGGTTGTTAAATAAAGTAAGTGACATAGCGAAACAGCGATGCATTTACCTAGCATGGGATATGTAATATTGTCCATGTATCTCATTTATCTAAAACAACGTTGCATCCTTAGGACTCTTTCTCACTGAAACCGTAGAGTCGATGAAAATAGAGGAGGGAGGTTCTCCATCATCCTTTTCAATGACACAACCCACCAAATACATCACAGGGTTGTCACCTCGGATAACACTGCCCATTGCTCTTATCAGGGTGCAAACTCACCATCCACATGGGCTACAGAATGGGATCATAGGGAGCCCTCTTGAATCGTGCCAAAACAAAACCGATAACCCTACTGCTGTGCCAGAAAGGAGCGGGCCGGCTCTACCAAGGGCCAGGAGAGCTAGCTCTAAGTAAAAAACAAAACAAAACAAAC